AGTGCGAAAGGTCGAGGCACGCGACAAGCAGCGAAGAAGGAGATGCTTCCGGCGGTGGGTTCGACGGAAGGTGGGAGGAACGACGCTCTCGCTTCCAGACACCCTCGTCATCGCCGCAACCCCAAAAGAAACGTCGATACACCCGCGTGCGGGAGGAGGATATACCGACACTTCCACCACAATCGCGATACGTATTTTCAAGCTCGCACGCGCGTGGCAAACCCATACGGCTAATTACATCGAGCTCGGTTACCCCGCGACAAGACAACGAGGCGGCAAACGCGCGCAACTCTGTACATGGGAAAAACAAAAAACAAAAAAAAAAAGGGAGAGAGAGAGAGAGAGAGAAGAATCGCCGCGTAGCGCAAGAGTCGTGCGCGTTTGCGAATGCAACGGAGAAAACTGCATATACGTGCGAGAGGTGGTCTGTCACACGCATGCGCGTGCGCGACGAAGACAGGGTGAACCCACAGCTGTTGAGTGGGGAAGAAGGGAAAGAATGAGAGGGATGAGGGGGAGAACAGATGCTATATATCGAAGATGGGGCAGAGTGCGGAGAGAAAAAAGAGGGTGGATGCTGCGCTGCATCTAGGCAAGCGTGTCTACGTGTTACCGAGATATCAGTATTATCGATTTCTTTCACGCGCGTATATACACGCGCGCACGTTTTCCTATTTAATTTTTTTTTTTTTTTTGCTATTCACGCGAACTTGTGAATTTAAACACCTCGCGTAATTCTCTTCACGGGGAAGAGGACGGCGTTTTTTTCAACCGCGACTCGCTGTTTGATAAAAGATAAAAACTCCAAGATTTATACGTTTTCGAATTTCTGCACGTTCTCTCAACGTTGGCCGAGAGAAAGTGATCAATTTTTGTTGAGCCAATTTATACGTAAGATATTTCTCACGTCTGTTTTTTTTTTTTTTTTTTTTTTTTTTTTTTTTTTTTTATGTTATTTGCGCAAAGTCGTTCTCTTCGCACTTATTCGCGATTTGGAAATCGAACGAATTAAAACTCTTACGCAGCGAGCGACGTTACGTCATTCCCCCTTCTGCTGCACGAAAACCACAGGTTCCCAACAACGGACGTAGGTATGTAGGAACGAAATTCGTGCGCGATCGTGTTTTAACTGGCGCCTTAATACAGCGATACGCTGCACGCGCGCGCGCGCGCACATATGCGTGTGTGTAAGCGTCCGTACGTGAAACTCGTGAATGGCTGGCAATTTGAAGGCAGTCGGGGGTGAAAGGGAGGCAATTTCGGGCCCCGGGGTCCGCTCCTCTCGTTTGTGGCAGCGAACACACGAGCACAGCGAAAATTTTCGCCCAAACTTCATCTCTCTCTTTTCCCTCCCGCGCTTCTCTCGCTCTCTCACTCTCCCTCTTTCCTCTCGCTTTCTCTTTCTTGCTCTCTCGGTCTCCTTCTTTCTTTCGTTCGAGCGAGACGAACTCCTCCGGCGTACACCGCACGACCCATTCGGGCAAGGGGTTTGTGTATCGCAACGGGTCCGGGTAATATCTCGTTTAGAAAGATTACAGGTTCGAGAAGAGGCTGCCAATGTATAAAACAAACATCGTTAAGGCAACCCTATACTTAAGACCCCCCACCCTTTTCCGGCCCCACCTCGCACACCCCCTCTGGCATTACACGCTCGCTGTGTTAGGTGCATCTACAATACTGCTACATCTCATTATATCCGGTGTCTCGTAGACTTTTTTAGTACCAAAACCGATATCGCATATTCCAAAAGACAAGAAAAAAATCCATCCAGAGTTGCGATTAAAAACTTAAACTGTTAAACTTAATGTTTAAACTTGTACTTTTCATCGTTTTTTATCCCAAAGATTTTTTGTTATTGTACAAAGAATCTATCGCAAATTTAACGACTTGTTATAAACAAAACTGCTGCACTCAAACATTGGTTCTAAAATTTTCGCACATCTCTCGCAACACCTCCCTTGCCAGCCACCTAAATTGACATTGCGTGTATTTCTCTCCCAGAAGAGGGCGGGGAAACGACGCGCGTCTAGCTGATCACGCACGCTCGCAAGTGTAAATGCGCTTTGCGTGTGGTGGCGAACGTGTCAAACGCGCCCGGCGCGTATTGAGACGTAGACCACCGGACGGGGTCCGAGCGCGCGGGGTCCCCGACGGGCCCCCGGGACCACGGGCGTAATTTCCACGCGTATAATTATCGATGATCGGAGGCCGTTACGGAGGCCCCGGCGCGGCGTTTCGCTGAAACCCGATCTCGCGAACGTACACACACTCTCTCGACGGAGTAGGAGAGCCGGACGACGGGAGAGGGGCAGATCAGGCCTGACGGTTATTATTTATCGATGGAGATTGATTTAGAGCGCGGTCGGTTTTCGAGATTGCGATCGATTCGCCGCGGGTGCGCGCGCGCGCGCGCGCCCGTGATTTCACGATCGATCGGGAGACCGGTCGTCCGGTTCTGATAAGATTACTAAGCGCTATTTAAGTTCGACAATATCGATTGCTCGGTATCGTTAATCGCCGATTTCTTTGCTAACGCGAATTGCGAGAAAAAAGACGAGATGTTGCCTCCATTCGGTTTTTTTATCGCTTAATAATAATTTACCGGATATTTGCCGGCGATATTTAAATGTTATCTGCTGTAAACAATATACTTCATCTCTGAAGAGATAACAGCGACTGAATTGCGCTTGTCAATCCTGAGTTATTGAGAGATACGTTAAAATTGCATTTGCCTTTTGACAAATTGGTATTGTGTTAGTGTATTTTTATATTTTTTTATTTTTTTTTATTGCATCCGAGTGTTCGAGCGCGTTTTATTGTTCCGCTGAGATCTCTGAACAAACTTTAGGCGCAGCTGTTTCACGCGATAGAAACAGAGACAGGACTATAATACATAACGGCGATTATTAAGACGTATATGTCATTATACATACATGTGAATTAATCATGTTGTCCGATTATTCTCAAATTAGTCATTCTTTCGCGCACATATTCGCGCGACGCTTCAAATTGAGTAGCTAAACACGACGATCAATTATTTGTCACGCGCCAAACAACAGCGTGTATTTATCAAAACCAAGATTGAAAGATTGCACTCCGATATGTATTACGATCCTCTGTGGCGTGTCTTGTTAATAAAATTACCGATAGTCTGACCGATAAAAATCACACACTCGTATTACACAGAGACTAAATTAATCCAAGAATAATTAACGATACTCTCGCGACGTTTTTACGAAATTTTATTTGCAATTTTTTCTTTCTGCAGTCAGAACTTTTCTCTGACGAGATTATTTTAAATTTCGAACGAACGATTTTCCTGGAAATATATTACGTCGTTAATTAAAGCTTTTACATTATTTCACGAAGATTGGCAAACATTTAGCGCCTACTTGTCCATTCTCGTGCTCTGCACATAATTTCTGAACATCTCTCACCTCTTCCTCTCTCTCTCTCTCTCTTACTTTACTAATGACGCAAATTAGGAGATTAAACACGGCTCAAACGTTGTGCGCGTTCACGAGGCAAGCTATTAACCGGAGATCGAAGAGAGCGAAGAAGATTTAATCCGACCGATATGCGCGCGCGCACGCACACACACACGCATATCACAAAGGGAACATCATTTGACGTCCGTGTGGCCGTAATGCACACACACGTGCAAACAAACGAACGAACGAGTGCACGCGCGCTTTAGCACCTGTACACGTCGCACATGAAATATGTAAGCGTATATGCTCACTCTTTCATCGAGAGCGCGCGCTCTATTCTCAGCTATTACAGTTTACCATCGCGTCCCCACTCAGAGACGTGATATATCTGCTCGCTCGTTCGTTGGCGGCTTGTCCTCGTCGCGAAAGAAGCGGCTCCCCTCCCTCCCCCCGGGCCCCGTCCGATTTTCTTTCCGCTCCCATCCTCTTCCATCGGTTTGCTCGCTCGTCCCACACATCGCAGACCTTCTACAACTCGTTCGCTACGAAACAGAGCGACCCACCACCGCGCGCGCCGATCGTGACTTCGCGGAATATAGGGTGAAGTAGTTGGGGTTTTTTGCGCTTCGAAGAAAGGAGAAAACTGACGGAAAACAGAGGGAGGGAGAAAGAAAGAAAAGGGCAAAAAGAGTAATCGAGAACGGTGGGGGGCAAAGGGGTGGGGGAGCAAAGGTTGAAGAAGTTTCAATTGCTTGACGACGAAGGGATCGAACTTTCGTGGTGATATCTTTTTACGACGGCGCTACTACACGTCATCGGGGAAGTATGCCCTTTCTTCCCTTCACGTCCCTCTCACATACACGTGCGCAGAAATCGCAAGAGACACGTGTGTGCCGAGCGCGTGCGTACACGCAAGTGCGGCTCGCTCGTGCTACAAGTTTGTGTGCGAACGATTGCACACACAAATGCAAATTCGCATGTGTCATATACGTACGTCAGAAAAAACCTAAAAGAAGTGGAGATAACGAAATTGTCGCAGCGCGTTTCTCTCTTTTTCTGTACGTGGAAAAAAAATATAGAAGAGATTTTTTTCTCTCGTCAAAGTGATTTTCGGTGTTTCCGACGCACGCGAAATTAATATCTGTTCTTTTCTCGGTCGAAAAATTTTAGAAGAGTATCGTGGTATTTAATTTCGATATCGGGAGAGAATCTCATCTCTCGGCATTGTGCGCGTTCGAGAGCGTCAATGAATACGTTTCTCGCGCGAGACGACCCGCATGCGAGATTTTTTCTCATGTTCATTTGAGATCTTATATATAGTGTATATACATATATATATACATATATACATACGCGCTTGCGCTCGTACGAGAGTCTTCGCGTCCACGTCAAAGCTACTCGACTGCTGATTAGATGTTATACACAATGTACACGTGTGCGATGAAACTTGGTAGAATCGCCGTTCTGATTGCTCTACTACCCTTGCGCTACTCCCGCAAATAATCGTTCAATCAACGACAAAGGATCGTAATCATGGTAACAATATCGGACGGCGACGTTGACACTTACCGGCCACTCTTCGTAATGACCATTTCCGTCCCGAGCTTGTGGAATTTCTCCCAAAGCTCCTTGCCCTCGAGCGTGACCTTCGGATCGTCCACGACACCGTCCTCCTCCGGATGATGAGGCGGCACGAGGGGATGGTGCGGCGCCGTGAGGGGATGATGGGTGGCCAGTGGATGCGGTGACGTGTGAAGCATCCCCGGAGGTAGCGGTGGCCTCAGAGGCCTCATCGCGGGACCTCCGGGGCCTTGATGGTGGTGATGTAACGCCGCGGCGGCCGCGGCCAGAACGGCGGCCTCTTCCGGTGTGTGCGGACCCAAACCTAGACCTGAAATTTTATTAACAAATCTTGAAATTTTTTTTCGATATGTCAAGAGCATTGCTGAAATGATAAATTAAATAATAAAAATTACATACCGACTAATTGCTACGATAAAACGAACATGATCGACACATACGTGATGGTTATGCTTTAACCCTTCGCGTCTGGTCGAGGGAACGTAATGATGGGGGGAGGAAAATAAAAAAATCAGAGTATACACGACGGATGCAACATCTGGACGCGCAATTTTACGTAAATGCAAGACGCGAGTAAGTAATAAACCGCTGATGCGTTCGCGGATCGAAGATCGGCGACGGATAACAAGTAAAAAAAAAAAAAGAAACACCTGGTCGAAGTTTTTCGTGAATCACCTGGCGATAGCAACCCCCGAAGAAAAGTTGCGGACTCTTTTCCGCGTTTCCCTCCCTCGATGGCCATCTTTTCCACGACCCTGCTCCGAGTTAAGAAAACTTTATATCGTTTTTCTTGTTTTCCCTATCACTTCGTTTAAAAAACACTTCTCGAGAAAATTACGAGCGATTGTGCGAACAACTGTATATATATAAACATCACATATTTTCGATCTCGGCGATGAGACGCATCTTTATAAATAGACTCGACGCATCCGCGCGCGATAACGCAATTTGTGTCAATAAATATTTTCGAATCGCTTGTTGCAAGTTCAGCGATGATGTATGCAAATCGTAGTTGCGAATAGAAAAAAACTTTATTCACGCGTACATACGTTCTGCAGAGTTCTAAGTATATTTTGATTTAGAATTTAATTCTATAACAAGCGCGTCGGCAGTTATCTTATTCAAGGTTCAATGAATCTAACAGATCTTAAGAGATTTCAGCGCTCCGATTAGTTTGCACAAAAACAGATTGCGAAAAATGTCTGATACAGTTTTTCCGTGACGTGGTCACGCAATAATCAAATATTTTGTAAACGCTCGCGATCATAAAATCTCGTAAAAAAAAAAAAAAAAACAACAAAAAAATAGAATCAAGCGTTTCTTGCTTCACACATTTTGCGTCAAAAAAACGGAATAGCGGGCGATTTCATATAAAACGGAATTGCATTATAGCAGATATATCAGTCCGCTCGAAATAATATCGCTATAATGTCAAGTTGTTGGCGAGAATGATTAATGTAAATCGCCGTTCATAAATGTTATGAGTAATGATGCAGTTAATAGTTAACGACATAGACACGGCTCCCGGTATTTCCTTTCCTTTTCAATCAATTACCATCTGTAAACGGAGGAAAAAAAAAATATGGAAAACCTGTTACCGCGCGTAATGACTTCATGATTGTTACCGCGGCAGATTTCGCTAAGTCAATTCCTAGCCGAGATAACCATTATCTTCATTGATCTTCAATCTCTCGTTTGTTTTTTGCGCGTATTAATAATACTGTTTATTTTAAACGCGCGTGTCAAAGAAAATTATAATCGCTATTCCGGTGCTATTCCGCGATCATTTTTCTTTATTGTAATTACGTATTTACTTTTCTTAATCATCCAAATGTCAATCACAGATCAAGTTGTTTATGTAAAACTGGCAATTTGCTGCTTTTGTGTAACAAAAAGCAAACAACAACCGCATAATTACCGTGAAATTGCCGTTTCTTATCAAAGAGAACGAGATTTTTAGGTGGTGGCACGTGTGATGCGAGTGTGTGCGAGGCTCGCCTGTCGAAACGACGGGATTTCAAGCCGTTCTTTATTTAATTTCAATTTTGTTTTTTTTTTTTTTTTTTTTGTTACTAATTTTTTCATCGCTCGTAGCGCGACCGCGTTGGATTGCGTTACATGAAAATAAACGTATTACGTAATGCTTTCTTCTTCAAAACTGTTTAAAACTTCATAACTTGCGCTCCGAGTGATTCATTCACCGATTTATTTGTTCATGTTTGTGTGAAACATAATATTTACGAAGAAGCGTATATTTGTTGTTTACATAAAAAAGCTGCAATCCTTACTGCTAACATAAATAATTTAAACAGATAGAGAAACTGCAAAAACATGTATAGTATTTACATAATAGTTTTGTAAAACGCGCTCACAATGCGTACACATCTCAATTGCAATCGTAACAATAATTTACGCGCGAGCGCTAAACACGTTATTTTGTGTCAATTTGTTTGCAATAAAACTGCACACTATAACAATAAATAAATAAATAAGTAGCCTTAGTTGCGTTATTTACGTCTCATATTACATTTAGTTTACGTCTTTGTAATTTTTCTTTTATACTTTAACACGTTACAACAGTTTTACCGAAAACCTGTCGCGCATTACGTGTGTAAATCTGTTTGCATAAATAAATTAATCAGATCATCTCAATTGTTGGCTTTATCTCGTAAATATTGATCATTGATATTAGAGTTAATTGTATTTCATGTTATTTTGTTTATAGATTTGTTTAAATGTTACTTTGTTGGGGGTTTTAATGCTTTTAATGAAGTTAGATATTTTTTTATTTAATTTATTATTTGAATTGTGTGAAAGTTTTTGTGACACCTAAAAGGATATCTCTGTTAGTCTTGTGCGATTTTACGGGAGTGAGTTATATTTATTTTTGCAGTTTTTATTAAGTTTTATGATACAATTTTTTTCAATCAGATTATATACTTGTACTAATCACATTATTTATATTTATTATGACACACGTGTACGCACGAATAGAGAAATTTATTTTCACGCAATCATATTTGCTTGTTTGTGCATTAAGCGTAAAGTTTATTTGCGTCTGTGTAAAGACACGTTGATGTAATGCCAGAGTAGAGCTATGAGCTACTAAGTCGATAATAACACACCACATACCGTTCTTATGACAGATTTGCGAGACTTTCTTATCTCTCACTCGATTTCATATATATTATTTTCTTTTTATTTTTGCGTTATTATTTGGAAATATTTTAGACGCGCGTCGCGTTTTACTATCTCTGTAGACACACATTACGCAAGACGCAACCGTACACGCGCGACTTTATGATTATAAATAAATATATCAGTATCGAACTTTCGCCAACGGACGGAAAAAAAAAAAAAAAATGACGCAAAATGTCGGACGAACTTCACGCGATATTTTTGCGCGTTATAATGCACTCAAAATAAAAAGACTCTCTTGCCAGACTCGCCGAAAATCCATCATATTATCGAACGAAAGCGCTAGTGAAAATGTCATGTTTTTAATATTTTTGTTCGTTTATCGAACACACGCCGAATCGATCCCGTGCGGCGAAATCGAATTTTGTCGAACACTTGCCGCTCGCGTATATACTCGACTCGTATTTTGATTTTTATTCACAAACCGGTAAATGTTCGGTCTGACGAGCGACGCGACGGACCAGCGTTATTTAACCGCGGCGTTTTTAACACCGTTATTGTATTTTTCACGTGAATTCACGCGCGATGAGTATATCGCTAAAAACATTTAAACCGGGGCGGAATGAGACGATTGTTTACAACGGCCGTAGTATAGAGAGGGAGAGAAAAAAAAAATATTCCCGCTGATATTTTGGATATGGCTGCGATCCGCCGGCTCATACACATACATACACACACACACACACACACATACACACACAAACACATACACGCACACATCAGCGCGCAATTATTTCTTATCAAAGTGGACGAAGCTTTGGTTAGGTGTATGACGCAAGTGCGAGGACTAGGCTGTCAAAATGGCAAGCGCGAATTTCGAGCTGTTCTTTATCTGACTCCGTTTTTTTTTTGTTTTTGGTTACTGATTTTTCCATCGCTCGTAACGCGCGCGCGCACGCGCGACCGCGTCGGATTGCATATTCATTATATTGCCGGCGGTTTCGGTACACAATGTTCCAGCCGGATTTTCGCCAAACTCTGTTTCAGTTTTAATGAGAACGGAAACATTAATTAGCACAAAGTGTGCAACCTTGAGATGTACATCTACCTTGCGCGTGCCGTGTAGTTGAAAAGTTACTTTTACCCGTAATATAAATTTGCCGTTTAGAGAAAGAGAGAGAGAAAGAGATAGAATTAGATACATATACATGTATACTTCGCGTTACACGTACATGTGCGTAAGTTTCGTTGCGTTTGTAATAAGAACTCTTGTAATGAATTCAAAGACACAACAAATCCGCGCGCGCGTCTTTCACGTTCGTAAAAGCTTTTAAAATCGTTTGTCGTACGATTTCGCATTGCGATAATTTTTTTTTTTTTTTTTTATTTATTATTAATTACGCGCGCGATGTGGAACACATTGATTGCGGGAGCGCTTTGTTGCGCGTTATAAATAGCCGTTGAATTTAATAACTCTCTTACGATTGGAGAAAGAGACCAGTTATCGAACAGTGAAAATACATTGCTTTATTGCTACCAATTTATCAACACCCGTGTACAGAACGCGCAAGTAATACATTATTGAAAATTATAAACATGGAGCGGCAATGTGTGTAGCACTGTATTCCCCAATAAAGTGCAGGGAACGTGGATTTTCGATTTATTGAACGTTATTTCTGCATCGCACAATACCTTAATACAATTGTTACTAGCAAGACACAATGCGGCGCATTTAATCTCGCCACGTTCTCTCTCTCTCTCTCTCTCTCTCTCTCTCTCTCTCTCTCTCTCTCTCTTCTCTCTCTCTCTTTCCGGTATTAAAATTTCTAGCGTTCCGCGGTGATTTCGCATTGCTCGCGCGCAATTTTGGTTTTGTTTTTGTACACGCGCGCGTATACAGTCACTACTTTATGCGACAGATTAGCGAGATCACAATCCGCGAGAGAGTAAAATTTCTATTTACTTTGCGAAACGACGTTAACTCGTCGCTAATTGAATTTAAGCTGCGTAACAATAACGCATATACACACTTTGCTTAGGCTTTTGAAAACGCGATTGTAAATTCAATCGCGTCTTCACGTGTCACTTCGCTAACGCGCATCCGAACGAAAAAAACTAAATCGTGGCACCTCCGCGTTTTCTAGTTTCTTTTTTTTTTTTTTGTTTCTTCACTCGTCGCGCGTTTTCCTCGCTCGGAAATCACACGGGGAATTACGCGCGCGCACGTACACGCGCCGAGTGCACGTCCCGAATTTCGAATGCAAGGAACGTCGGGCGTGCCCTTGGCAAGATTAATCACCACTATCTTATGGTCAGTTGGCCGCGAGCCCGGTTAGAAAAGATGAAGAGAACGGAGCCGCGTGCGACGTGCATCACGAAAAATGACAGACTAGAGAAACAATAACAATGACGGATCACTCTCGCGTCGCTGCCATTCGGATCGGAGCGGACGACATCGCGACGCGTCATTCGAGAATCATCGGCGGCTTCAAGCACCGACAGAAAGAAAACAGCTTTTGATTTTCTTCAATGATATTTGTCGTTTGAAAAAAAAAAACAGAATGTTTTGTTTCGTGTGACAGAGGAGAACTTTTCAAGTGGTGTATTCCTCACACACACACACACACACACACACGCACGCGGCAAAAGAAAACAATATATTTACAATTTTTACTCTCGTCAAATCGAGGGTCAAGATTTTTGCAAAACAATTTTCAATTGATCGCGCATTTAAAATACAACTGACGTTGCTGTATTAGCACTTATCGTTCGCGGAAGCTACGTTGTTTAGCGGCGACGAGGAGGTAAAACGCGTGTCTACGTATACCCCGGCGTCGGGAATTAATTCATCATTTAGCCTAACGAAGGGAATAACTAGTTGTAGCGGATGAGGTGGACGCGCGTAATAATGCGATGTCAGATAAGAGAACGAGCGATGAGCGCTCGTTGTCGGCTCTGGAAATCGTCCGATTCTTTTTTCTTTTTTTTTCTTTTCTTTTTTTTTTTTCACACACCTGGCACGACATTTGCAGTCGGTCGCGTCGCATCCCTCTATTATTGTTGCCACAAAGTAAAAGCGAATGATACCTCTCGCAATCTTTCTGACGTTCTTCTCTCGTCATTCCGTTCATCGATACACACAAAACAAGTTGTTATTTTCCTTTTGTTTGTAAATACCTTCGCCGCGCACAGAAGTTTACAGAAGTCTCGAACAACTCGCTTCCGAGTTCTGACCCCGTTGTCGCTTTCTCGACTTATTTTCCGTAATATTCACTAGACGTTTTTTTGCGTGAACGATCTATCGACGCGTCACGTAGAACGGAAAATCGCGTCACGAGACAATGCGTTTTGAAAATAACGAATCGAAGAACCGGCGTTCGCTGTTCGCATCGCTATGCTCATTTAACGCCGCAGATATGCCAGATCGATTAACATTATCGCTATCTTAAGTCATAATGTATTGTCGACGTGTACCGAGTGCATTTTTTTTCTCCTCTGCGGTGGAGTCGCGCCGCATTCCCGATGTTATCGCGATTCGCGCACTATTGTGATCACCGATCTGCTGCGATCTGGAATTTTTTTCACGTCGACTCACGGATATCGACGTCGCGAGTCATGTTCACGGTGACGACAAGTCTCCCGGAAGAAGAAAAATCGCCTTGATTCGCGAAGAACAAACGGTTTCGTGTACCGCCACAAAGAACTGAGAAAAACATTCGTTTCTGCTCACAGTTTCGTATGATTTAATTTAATTTAATTTACTCTCTCTCTCTCTCTTATTATTATTTATTATTTCATTTCCTTGTCATTTCTTTGAAGTGATGTTCTTGAGCTCTTGTCCATTTTCTGTCGGACGCACCTGTGCAAACATGTTTTCTACATTTTGTTCAGGCATATTAGCATTTAACTTTTTCATATTCTTTATCTTTATTTTTAATTTCTATTTTATTTTATGTATTTTTGTTTTATATTTATATTTTTTTTGTATATAATTGTTACCTGCCTATATATATTTAAGGAATGTCAAATTTGTAACTTTTAGTGCGCCTGAGGGGATCCCATCCCAGGGCGCTAAATAAATATGCGCTTTCTCTCTCTCTCTCTCTCTCTCTAGACGTCGTGCAAATCGACACGTACAACACACCGAAACATCCAAAAACACTTCGTTGATTCGAAAAACACGTACGCGAAATATACGAGGAAAGCGCGTACGTGTCAAAGGACACTCGCGCGAGTATCATCGTCTTCGATAGTCGGTGTTTTGATAATTATTCTCAGAGCGCGCGCTCTTGTTCTTCGATTATCGCGCGTCTCGTCATCGCGATCCGAGCATCACACAACGTGCCACGTTGTCACGCGCGCTATATAATTTTAACACACGACTTTCTCGCAAAAACAAAGTCAGATAGGAACACGAAACTTTTTAAAACACGGAGTGTGCAGCAAATATTATTGAGAAAACAATTAGCGATTGGCCGCGCGCAACCAAAAATGTCGCGACATTACCGCTAATCTTTATAATGGCCTCCTCGAGAACGACTTGGCAAACAAGGTAATAAAACCGTCTCTAATTAGCGGTATTTAATACCAATAGCAATGTGGCTTTATATCGTCGTGCGAATTAACAATGGCCGCCGTTTCGCGGGGTTTCAAGACGGCGTCTAATTATTGCGCAGTTATTTCTCCTCCTCCTTCGTCTCCTCTTTCAGAAACGAGGATGATCTCGTAGAAAGCAAGAGAGATCTCTCTCGAAATCGCGCGTTCTTTGAAACGTTCGCGGCGCAACAAACCGCGCAATATTTCTTCTTCCTTCGCGCACCCGTCATGCCGTTTTGACGTTGCACGCCAGAGAGAGAGAGAGAGAGAGAGAGAGAGAGACACCGCCGCGCGCGATCAGGATGTTGCGTAAGGCCCCGACGACGAGCAAAACGAAGAGACACACGACGAGTGACAAACGAGTGACTTCCAGTCGCGTCACAAACGTGTCCTTCCCCCGAAAACACGAGCGCACTTCCGCCGTCAGCGACAATGGCATCACGCCAGAACAACAAAATGCAATTCTCATGTGTTTACGAAATCCGCGAAATATATCGTGTGCGATTTTATTACGCAGATTTCCGGAGCTACGTAGGGAAAAAGTACGAGCTCGCCGTTGCGGAGCAACACGCGTCGCAAGCGGAGCAGATATAATCCCGCGAGAGAAACGATTACGCGACGAAGTGACGATCTCGAGCACTATGAAAAATATCGCACGATGTAGTTTTGCTCCTTCAGATGAGGCGGAAACAACGAGGTGAAAACTAGGAAATCGGGAGAAGAGCTCGCGGATTTCGAGTAAAGTCGCGGCAAAATGATACGTTCGCACGGTGAAAACCGGGAAAGGTGAACGTGTGCATAAAACAAGCCACCGGTCTGCCTAATACTCCGCGCTCCGGTGTAACTACCGTCTCCCGCAGGCTACAACCGAAATAAGCACCAGAGGCATTACCCCGCGCGCTAGCACGCAACAAGTTTGTTTGCAAATTAGCTCGTTGTACGGTTGTTGTACGACTCGTAAAATTTGCTTGCATTCTTTCGCCTCTCATTCTCGTCTTACGACGTATTAATTAAACGCGAGAGCACTTTTCACGACGAAAACATACTCTTTGCGCGAGTTTACCGCGCGGCAAAGCAAAATGTCTCGTGCAAAACGTTTTGCCGTTACACCACGCGAACGAGCACAACCAAAACTACTTCAAACTAGGATATTTAACAAACGAATTTTGTCGAAGCACGTGAATCAGGACACACGATTTCTCGATTTTTGACGATCTAACTTTCTCGCACACACATACGCACAGAAAAATTGCTTCACTTTCGCAAATAAATTGCTCGGTTTGTGCTCACCTGGCGGCGTGATACCGTGCGGATTCAGATGCGGGTGATGATGTCCGGCGAGTATTCCCTTGCTCTGAAGATGATGAGCTGCTGCGGTTGGCCCTGGCGAGCTGGTGGGTGGCAGATGAGCAGCGGGATTGTAGAAACCCGCCGCTGCCAGGGCTGCAGCGCTGAAGTAACTGGCGGCCGCCACCGCCGAGGATGGATGCGACAACTCGCGTTGGCCGCTCGCGGGCAAAGGCGGCGGTGTTTCCGGCGCTGCGGCCGGGCTACCGGGTCCGCCGGGTGGCGGTGACGCGCTACTCTGTGACGACGAACCACCTAGAATACCAGGCGGATGAGTGCTGGCTGCAGTCAGCAGCGAGGAAACGCTAAAGTCCGTCGGTCGCGGTGCCGCCGGTGCCGGCAGATGTCCGGTGCCGGCACCGATGTGGCCGTTCGGATTGCTTGCGGGCGGCGTTCCGCCGGCGATCGAGCTTGCGAAGGGCGAGTGCTGATTTAGAGCCGTCGCTGACGCGGGGTACGCCATCCCAGGCCCCCCCGCCTCGGCCCGCGGCCCCGTGTTTGCACCCTCGACCACGTTAGCCTCCAATTCTATGCCAAGTATACGTCGTTGACCGTCGACGTCTTTTGCAGAGGAGTCCTCCTCCTCCTCCACCACCACCTCCTCGGGCCGTGATCGCTGCTGCAGCGCGGAGGGTTGCGGAGTGCTGGCGCAGTGGGTACCCCTGCACGCCGTGTCTTGTTCGAATCTCATCGAGACGGGCGGATGTGCCGAGTCGCGCGAGATTCCTCTTCGAGTGACTCAAACCTGCTTCGGTTGCTGCTCGCGCGAGACGGTTCTCTCTTATCCGTTTTGGCTCTCGTTTTCGAATAAACACGCGCTGTCGCTCGCGAGAGCCGCTCACGAGCCGTCGGACAGAGGCTACGCGGCTCCTCGGAGTGGTCTGGCTTGATCAGCGATCGCGCTCGTTTCTTCTGCTCATATTCACAAACACGGACGTTCGGTAATGGAAATTCGCGTTCAATATTCGAGATCACGATTCCTGGAACACCCGCGTTCCCCGATGCAAATTTCCGTTTGTGGAAAATTGCTGACAATCGTTTTCTCTGGGTATCAAAAACTGTCTAGTCGACATCTTACAACTTGGATATGAATCCTGCCGGCAGGACATTCAACGCTTCAGCGAGCCTTCGTCATGGTGCAAAGTACTTCCGTAGTGTCACCCACGCGAGGAATCGGGAACAAGCTGGTTGTCTGGCTTTCGGAACACCTCACTGAACCGTGACAAGAATGCACACTGGCACTCCGGAATTGTCGACAAATAGGAACACTCGCGAGCGAACATCTACGGTGATGTCGCGTGATAGATCTTCAGTATGAGAGTCATTCTCATGTCGAGACACTAGCCGCGAGTCACTCTAGGCCATAGTGCTTGCATACGATGTTCACTGATCACTGACTCTTCACAGACTGTCGTGGAGTTTTCTGTTGTCGATCGCCTGCCACTGCTTGCGGTCTCTCTTTCTGTTCCTCTCAGATGTTCCGAAACGTAACACTGTTACACGACTTACAAGTTTAGACGTCGTTGATCGTCCGACGGACTTTGCGAAGTTTACGAGAGAATAGTTCTGGAACGTCACACGTCTATTGACACTCGCGTACGCGACACGAAGAGCGCAAGTCGACAATGACGATGATGATGACAAAAAGGAACAGGCTTATTTTCTCTCAGCGACCACAGTGATGACGACAGTCAGCCGGGGCTGAAGAGCGGACGAAAGGTGTTACTTGGGTGGCGCCGCGATGGTCACTGAGCAGCGCTAGGATTGACACCTCCTCTGGGGGCTCACCCCCACACCTCCCGCGGAGGTGTTGGTGTGCTAAAGTCCCCGTCCGGATTCAGGGCGGTGTGTACGCGACGGCCGCGTGTATATGGGTGGTCTGTGGACACGTGTGCGTGCGTTACGTGCGTGTATATAGACCGCGGTGTGCCTGCGCCGCGGAACGGACGCGGGAGGCGTGAATGCTGGAGGGCAGCGACGCGAAGACTGAGACCGTGCGGGGGCTCCTCCTCCCTTCCCCTATGACTGTCTACGGAAACGGAGTGGGGATCGGCCTTCCCCAACTGCCGGCACTACCAACGAGTTCTCACGAGAGCGACAGAGACAAAGACGCGTACTGGATAGCGCAAGACGCGTGAGAAGTGGGGAGAATCTCGCGGCACCTTCTCCCTACCAGCCGTCGGGCGATAATGAGCGCTCGTAGTCCGGATTGGCGTTCCGGCGCCAATCCGAGCGGCGTTGGACTCGACGCCTTTTCCGACGCTACTCGAGCCAGCAGTCGTCTCACTCGCGCCTTCACACGCTCTCCCTGTCTCTTCTCCGATGGACTTATCCCCACTGCCCAGTGTCGCACACACATGTTTGCGATACTCTTCGTACATTGTCGGTGAACTCGACTGCGCCCCCTCCACAACGTTCTAAGGGTGTTAACCGCGAGTACGCCCATTAACACCACCCCGCGTCACTGCCTTCCAACGAGGGCGGGGGCATGGGATACGGAGGAAGGGGGTGCGATCGACGTCGCGAGGTGTCGTTAGTGGAGCTTGCTCGAATCTTTGCCGGTTGAACGTTAATGCTCTCGCGTTTAATACGAGAGAATTTTCGCGTCTGAGTTACCACGTTGGCCGACACCTTCATTTGTCGAAAAGAAGAAAAATGTTACTGCTCTTATAGATATCGTTCAGCAATTCGATTAGTTATAGTTATTGAAAAGTTTTTGATAAAAAAGTTTAGATATAAGAGAAAAATTGTATATAGTGTTTTAAATTGCATAGAGTTTACTCTTTGTAAATCTTTACTATTTAATTAATTAATATCATTCAGGATATATTTTTTACATAAAACAACATGCAAAATTGTGTGTGTGTGTGTGTACACTTTAGCTTTTATTACTTTTAAAACTATTTATGTAATTTTTTGGTGAAAGACAAGCTGATTTTATAATTATATATCATGACATATTTAAATAAATTATTATATATATTTTTAGCCTGTCTCTTTCTCTTGCTTTTTTTTAATTAAATTTATAAATATATTTCGTTTCATAATATTATACACGTGTTTTCTTAGTATTTATCACAAATTAGAATTGCTGGTCGGTAATTGTAATTATTTGTTGAAAACTACACATCTTAACAGATATTTTTATCCAAGCAACTAAACAAGCATAAAATCACATTTTAGTTTTTATTTAGCAATAATTCATTGAAAAATTATATTTTTTTTCTTTTACGCGAATGAGGAATATATTCTATATCATCACTGTAATGCAATACGATTCGCTACGTCGACAATTCACCGAGTTTTCCACGAAATACTGTGAGTGAGAAGTTTTCGAGAGCCGTGCCAAAATTCGCACGGCACAGCGTCACGAATCTCACTCTTCGTCTCATTCTGTCCTTTTCGCTCGTGCTCACGTGCTCCGTCTCGCGTTTTAACACGGTGGAAACGGCGACGGAGGAGAAACTAGTGGCTACGCCTTCTATACTCCCACTGCTGCCGCGGTCGCTCCTGCCGTGTCACGTGACTTAACCCATTCCCCTCTCGCGCTCGTCGTTTGCAACGGCCACCACTGCGCTCCCCCGTTTCGTCTATCGCGGGTGCCGCCCCTCACCCTTTCCCTCCCATGGAATCTCTCCCGCTTTTTCTCCGTCGCGAAACGCTCAACGCTCGTCCTTCGCGCCGCGGAGTGTTGCTGAGACGCCCGGAGCATCACAGTGTTGCCAAATCCGCGAGAGCTTTTCTACCCGCATGGGCCGGAATTATATATCCAGAATCACATTATTCGGGAGCGTCGTAAAGAGTGAGCGTCACGCTGAAACCGTACATCGAAGTCGTTTCTTTTGTTGGCTCGGAGCAAAATTCTGTTCGCCAGTCCATGATCCGGTTTAATCGTAATTATATGGGAAGAGAGAAACGGGAGAATTAAACGTCTGAAACAAAGGGGCGGAACATGTTGGTTTATTATTTATTACTTTATGGATGAAGTATAGCAATGTGCCTCTTTTTGTTGCACTTTTCGTAAATTCAATTTTTCTGATTTCTGATGAAAATAAAGAATTGGTTCAAATTTTATAGTAAAATAAATATTGAACTCTAAATATATATAATCCTACCAATATATATATATATATATATATATATATATATATATTTAAACTTCACTTTTCAATATATTTTTGTAATTCACAATTGTATATATATTTTTATATATGAATCAATACTTAAGATACTTGCAATTGTGTATGAAACAAATTACTAACAGATTATATATTTGATATTCTATTTTTTATGATTTACTTCAGCTTTTGTTTATTTCTATCTAAAAATTTGTCAAATTTTTTACATTATTTGTTATGAACCAGTTCACTTTGTTTCTTTTCTTCTCTCTTTCTATCTTTCCGGTCTTTTTTCTCTTTTTTTTAACCGATCAAATAAAAACATATCAACAGCTATCTCAATGCCGCTATATGTTAATTATTCAATAAAGACAGTGGGACAAAGAAACAAAATAAAAAAATGCATAAAGCAGAAGGTGAGAGAAAGAGAATCCAAAAATCCTCTACAAGCACATAGTATACTGCGAGAAAGAAATCCGCAGTGAGAAAGAGAACGAGCTTACTCGCCTCTTCGCGTGTCCGAGACGACGTCGTATCCAACGGCTGAGGCAAGAGCAAAGTTTGTCCTCGTCGGCAGGGAGAAGATAGCGGCGCGAGACAGAAAAAGAGAGAGCAAAAGAGAGAAAGAAAAAAATCCAGCCACCGAGCGGAAAGCGCTGGGGTACGCGGGACTGAGAGGAAATATCGTAAGATAGAGGGAAAACGATGACGCGGCGAGAGAAAGAGAGAGGTGGTCATAATCGCGCAGACCGCGTCATAATCCGCGACGAAAAACATTTGACGAGCGCGCCGGGCTGGTAAAGGGGCAACGCGATTGGGCGTGGCTCAACTTGACACCGCCCACGTGCCCGAAGTTACCCCACTACTGTCACCGATGCGTGGGTGGGGGTGTAGAACTGAAACGCGCTGAATCGCACTGAACGACGAGCGGTGAAGTGGGGGGTCCGCGAGACGAGGACGGAGATTCACGCGGCATTCGTCTCGCGACCACGGTCAGAGCAGGACGAAAGACAGAACACACACAACGATGCGCTTTGCACTATAAGTGCACGCGCGCGCGACACACACACACACACGCACACGTTTGTCGTGCACATACTGCGAGATTTTTTGCGCGCTTACGCGGTAGTCTTGTTGGTTCGCCGCGTGTGGAGATCGGCTGAAGGTTTGCGCGAACCCACTCAACACAACGTTCCTATATCGCTTGGTGCCCAGCCGATGGACATCCCACAAGACCGCAGATTTTGCCGGGCAATTACACCAAGTCCAGCAGCATGAACTCGCGTCGATACCACGAAACGGTTAAATCGTACTGTAAGATTTCTGGCTATGAGGTAGGGAGTTGATACGAAAGAACATTAGGAGATTTCTCGATCTGGAAATAATAGTGTGCAACGCGCTTTGACACAAGTGAAAAACCAAATCTTCCACATACCGCGAGAGAAAATAGATTATATTTCTGATATAAGAAATATTTGCCACAAGCGACAATTCATTATTTTTATATTATCTCGACTACTAAACGAAGTATGAAAAATTGTGTTACGTTTCAAATTTTTGAACCTCGAATGTA